AGAAAAAACCCCACCTATTATTTCTCTGTTTAATGCAGAGAGATTAGTTTGCAGCCCCACCTCCTCCCCAAGTTGCTTTTTCAAGCAGACTAGTGCTTTAAACTGCACCCAATTTGCTCAGCTCAGTACATTAAAAGCAGACAGGGTAAAAAGCAGTTTTAACTTTTAATAAGATGAGAATCAGGGTTGAAAACAATGAATTATGAAGCCAGTACCCACGGCTGAAATTTCAGCCTTCTCAGCAGAATCCTCTAAAGCAGTTTACCTACCTAGTAACTCAAACACACCCACGCACAGTAACCACGCTAACTGGTTATGACCAGGACACAACAGGCTCACTCTTGGAATTTCTCTTGTCAGTCACCAGAGACTTCTCAGTGTAAAGGCTTTCATCAGCAGAGGTTCAGCAATCCCCTTTGTAGCTTATTTTATTTACTAAGACACTTCAAAGCTTGTCATAGAACATAAAGAGCTTTCCTCAACGGATAAACTTTCAGAAGTATCAAGCTGAGGAAGAAGGGTACAGTTTTGGTTTTGAACTGCCAACAGATGTTTGCTTGTAAGCATTTTTACAGTTACACAAACTCAACACATACTTTAGGGATGAGGACCTGTTCCTGTGTGAGATTTCCACTGATAGTAATCTATGGACCTGATCCTGCTTCTTACAGTTAGCAGGAATTTTATCATCTACTTTCACGGAACGAGTCTTATGAGTGCCAGCATCGTTAGGAACACACAGAGCATAGCAGATACAGTTGGGGAAAGAAGAGAACTTACTCTCTTCCAGAATAAGTTACATCATCTTATGACAACTTTACCAATCTTAGACGTCTGTATAGCACCAATCACCAACAGTATTATCACTAAGGCACTGGACTGGTACTCAGCTGTCACGGGGTCTGTCTCCACACCTGTGGACAATTTCCTGTGTACTCATGGTTCTATCTTTTGCTTTTACTGGTACCTAACTTCTAACATTGGAAAACAGAATATAATGCAAATTATCCAACATCCTTTAGAGGAATATTGCACCACGACCGTGACAAGGTGCACAGATCCTAAAGTGATGAGCATTAATGTTTCTGTGCATAGATTTACCAGCCAAAGAAAATTATCTTGCAGGTATCAATTATGTACAACACACTGGAACAGGATTAGCTTCAGTTCCTCTGGAGTTAATAACACACCCCAAGTTAAATCCTATCATCGATGTCATGATTCAAAATAGTTTCCCGATAAATGAAGATAAGCCCTGTGGGCTCCTGTCTATGACAACCGATCCAGCATGCCTTCCTATGCTTTAGCATCAACGTCTGCTCCCAACTTACAGAGCTCCAGTTTCAGCCCCTAAGAGAGCAGTTTCTGATGCTTTCACAAGCAGCTGAATCTTTTTTTAGTCTGTAGTGGATTTATCTCTCCACATTATTTATAAAAAAAGCCCAAACCTTCAGGAGTTACCACTGTTCTGCTGCATCACCCTGGCTGCTGAATCTGTACTGATGTACCAATGACTAAAAGTTCTTGGGTTGAAATAAGTTACTGCAAATGCACAGTGGCTGATTTTGAAACCACAACATTGCTACAATTTATTATTATTTTTACAAAATACCCAAAGTGATCAGACCATATTGTAGGTTACTGGCTTGCCAAAGGTCATGTTTTAAAATCAAAACCATTTCTGAGTTACAGAAGTGCCAAAACCAATCTTGAACCAGGTTTGTTTCTGGGGTTTTTTTTGTTGTGTTGTGTTTTTTGTTTTGGGTTTTTTTTTTTAAACCATCCCCATCCAACAAAACAGCTGTATAACTTAAAACAGAAACAAGAGTTTGTGTTGGACACTGGTTAAAAACCAACCCATCAAATCATGCTTGAGCAGGAGCCTTGTATGGCAAAGACCTAACTGAGGGCAATTTAGTGCCAAGATAGAGACCCTCTATGGGTTTATAATGGAAATACTGACACAACCTCAACTATAGGGATGCAAATGTGCCCTAAAACACTGTACTTGCGTTTATTAATAAAAGTGGTAGTGTTTACATTTGCAGGTATCTTACACTTCAGCATCACGATGAATACTGAGTAGAATGAGTTAAGTTTTGGCTGTAAGGTCAGAAGTTTCCAAACAGATGAATGAGACAGAAGTGAAAGTCCTCAATCATGAAAACAAGAAGTTCAAATAAATAAATAAAACAAAACTAGGAAATATGGGTAAGCATTAGGTTGGAATGGTTCAATTAACTGCAAATTATGGCCACTAAATTAGAGACAGAAGAAAACACAGTTACTTATTAAATAGCAAGCATTAAAGCTTTATGGTTTTTTGTATTTAAAAAAAAAAGAAAGCTGTTAAAAATAAGACTTGCATTTACCAGGCCACCAAACTGCATGGACTAATAGAGACTAACCAAAGGCAATACTGAAACATTAAGACACACACACACACTCTCCATACTTGTGCAACTCAACCATGTTCAAAACAATTGCCTTTTTCCTCACTTCAGAAAAAAAAAGCCTCCCCTAAGTATTTCTGTTCATATAAAGCTTTAGGTTTCTTCAACTGCTGTTCTTCCATAGCTCATTGTTACTATGTATCCTCGTCAGAGGAAGAAGTTTATGGTTTTAATTGGGGTTTTCTTTAATGGAGGTGCTTTGTGTCTCTCCGATGAGAGATTACATTCCTCACACCACTACAGGCTTTCCCCATTTATAAACGTGGTGTTTACTTCAACTCCTCCTAGGCTTAAAAAGATAAGGGTTGGCACTAAAATAAAGATTTTGGCTCCTGTAACTAAAATTAAGGCTCACAATGAATTTCCTTTCCACTACCTGTGTCCCATTTTTACCTAGTGGAAACACCAGCCCTTCACCTACAGGCACTGGATACATTCTTCAATCGTGGGGGGCTATTCTGGGTCACGTTCTCCTGCACTTCTACAAAGTTCAGGTGGCAACTTTCTAAACCTGTGAACAGGAAAGATCATTGTTAAAAGATGAGCAGCTAAAATTTTCAGGCAATTTAGTGTCTTCTGGCAGATCACTAGTAAGATCTTTTGAGTCAAGATGGGGCAGTAACTCCATCAGGTCCTTGCTGTTTACGTGAAAAGGGACGAGGTGATTGATTTTCCTTTCAAAGTTTAGCCACAAAAGCAATGAAAACTCACAATTCTGAACAGTTGTATTAAAAAGGCATCTGGTACTTGAAGCAAATCTAGCTGCACAGACATCACTGACCACACCCTAACGTAAATTTAAACTGGACCTCTTCCCAAAAAAGAAAGTTAACACAGTCTCTGGGGTGGAGGGAAGCTAGTGTGAAAGGCAAAGAGGCAAGTATTTTGGTGTTTGATTCTTGTTTCCTTTGTTTTCCCGTTAAAGTCACTGCAGTAAGATCCAGATAAGTTTACGGGTGTAAGTGAAGGGGGAACAGGGATGCTGGAGTAATATAGGCTAACACTGTTCTAGATGTGTTATTACAGCTGTAATTTCTGACTCTGTACAAATTGTACACGTAGGTTTAGACACATGAAAAAGTAACACACTCACAGAGACATAAAACACCTAGGTATAAAATATAAAGCAGTGTAGTAGTTACTAAAATTACATGCTCTCTTATTGCTACAGTGATTTTTGCTCTTTTTCTTTTTACTGTACCACATGTTGTTCTAAGCATATAATTTGCATAAATTATTCAAGTTTAAGAAAAATCCACACATCTTCACTTTAAGCTACTTATATAGTTAATATAAAACAAAAAGGTTCTAAAGTATCTCTTTATTAAAAGAGAAATAAAAATGTCATTTGAAACTGGAATTCAGTGGCCAAATCCAAGGGCAGTGCACACCTTGTCAGTCTGTAGGAGTTTGCCCACGCAGCGCAAGTGGAGGGTGGTGGGGTATTTGGCCCAGTCTAGAGATGGTCGCCGGACCTGCATGATGCCCTCTGTGTCTGTTATTGTTCTGGTTCTGTCTTTAGCAAAAAGGACTATGAATGACCAAAGACTAACATTTATAATTCGTAGCAAAATTTGGTTTATGTAGAAACAAGCCATGTTTTGCATTTGGATAGAGATTTAAATGAATTAAAGCTAAAAATTAAAAAGCATGATGATGCTGCAACATCTGGTCACTTGTTGAAGACCTCACTTTTAAAGTGGTTAAGTTTGCACAATTTGTACTTTTTTCTTTTTTTTTTCTTTTTTCTTTTTTTTTTTTTACTAAACAGTATTTTTCCTTCTTTTATAAACCAGAAAAACTAAACTACAGATAAATTTTCCCTACCTTGAGCTAATGCTGCAGATAGGGTTGACAAAGCTGTACAGCGCAATCAAACATACTTACATCTTAGCTCATTGTACAGGTACAGCCATAATCAAGGCACAAAGATCTTCTACAAGTTATTTTTTTTCAATAAAGTTGTACAAAATAATACATTTTACAGTCTGTACAAGAATAATAATCCAGCAGTAAAATAAAAAATGAGGGGAGGGAAGAAGAAAAAGAGGGGAAAGACTGTGAGGACTACAGTCCCGATAATGATTTTTATAGCAGACGGGATCATCAGTGGACAAACTGAAAACAGTGTGTGGTTAACTCTTTCTGCAATCACAGGCCATACGCAGTTCAATTCGTAAATGTCCATGGTTGTCTTTAGACCACCAAGACTGGTTTTAAAAATACCCTTCTGAAAGGTAGCGGTTGGTTTTTGCACTGTCTAGGTCTGTTGTAGAATTGTCAGTATTTCCGTTCAAAGCCACATTACAGTCAGAGAACCAAACTCAAGTGTCTGTCTTCAAACTTGGTCTGTGACTTGGCACCTTCTTTAGTCTGATGCAGTGAATGATACAAAGTGGAGATCACGGGTTATATGATTATGCCCACAACAGTGCTAAATTACCTAAAGTTTTCTCTCCCCAATTTTTGTTTCATATTTTAATTTTTGTATCCCCAATTCTTTCAGGTGCTCCACATTCAGGGATTTTAATTAATTAGTTTTTATTTTTTTCCTTTTTTTTTTTTTGGTTAATAACAGTGTTAGGGAATCCTCATGGAAATGGCCTTTTAAGTGTTAGGGGCCATCTCAAACTGTCCGAGGGGTACAGAAGCAAGCTTAGAAGTGCTGCTATTGTCCAGCAAGGAGAAAAAGTCGAGGGGTGCAAATCAATGGGAGATTCAAACAGTTCTCTTCCACCCTATGTGGGCAAGGGTGTTTTTTTTTCTTTTTTTAATAAGGAATAAGGAGTCCAAAACACAGAAAAAAGTGCTCTCCATCACAACAACTCGTATTGGCGAAGGTGCATGCGCTGAATAATGTCCCGACAGTCATTGAAAACCCTCCGGATGTTCTCTGTATCCACTGCACATGTGAAGTGAGGATAGCAATAGTGCCTTCCATCTCCACTCGCTGTGCTGATTCTCTGTTAAAAGAGAGAGATACTGCATTAAAACAGAGCTGACTGGGGAAAAAACCCTCATGTTCTCAAAACACAGGTGAATGAAGGTTAAGATACAGATGTGCGAGTTGTGTTTTCAAAGGGTGTAACTAAGTGGCAAAATACCACAATTTTTCTCACCTAAAATGTGAAATTGAAAATTATGGGAATTCTACAGTGAGAAGGTCACTGCATACTGGGGAATTTCAGAGCTAAATGAGAACGCAAATGCTATTATCTATATGCAGCTTTGGTGGATTTAACCACCCAACTCCTAGTTCATTTGTCCATGAAGTTAGTGGGATTTTGCCTCCTTGTAGAAGGCATTTATCTCTGCTTTGCATTTACAGAAAGCCTCCCTCAGAATTTTATTTTCACAGAATCACAGCATGGTTCGTGTTGGAAGGGACCTTAAAGACCATCTAGTTCCAACCCCCCTGCCATGGGCAGGGCCACCTTCCACTAGACCAGGTTGCTCCCAGCCTCCTCCAGCCTGGCCTTGGACACTGCCAGGGAGGGGGCATCCACAGCTTCTCTGGGCAACCTGTTCCAGTGCCTCACCACCCTCTCTGGGAAGAACTTCTTCCTGATATCTAATCTAAACCTCCCCACTTTCAATTTAACCCCGTTACCCTTTGTCCTGTCACTACAGGCCCTTGTAAAAAGTCCCCCCCCAGCTTCCTTATAGGCCCTGTAAGGCTAGAAGGGCCCCCCAGAGCCTTCCCTTCTCCAGGCTGAACACCCCCAACTCTCTCAGCCTGCCCCCATAGCAGAGGGGCTCCAGCCCTCTGAGCATCTTCATGGCCTCCTCTGGACTCGCTCCAGCCGGCTGATAGCCTTCTGATGTTGGGGACTCCAGAGCTGCGGGCCATTTTACCCCATTTTAAAATGAGTACAAAATTTGATTGCCATGCTCACCATTACAAGTAACTGTAGTAATATAAAAAAATCCCCATCTATTATAGCATCAGCTGACCAGTAATGAGAAAGATAATATGAAAAAGAACATTAATATTTTACAGATGATGCATAATTTGTAATCTTTATCTTTAGAAATGACGCATGGAATAAATTCTGGCTCCATTAATAACAGCAGGACTTCACTTGTTATTCTATTTGAGGTTTCTTAATTCCCACCAATTTTTTTGCTGTTTAATTATGGACTGTGTCCACAAACAAATATCCAAAGAGCGTTAACAAACAGCAGCGAAACTCTTTAACGTAGCAGTGTTCTACGCAGCGTGGATGTTAAATATAAATGACACAAAAAACGACCGCATTCAGCATTAGTAGAAGGTGTGTTAGAGCCTGTATTTGAGAAGAATTGCCTAAGAAATACTGAAAGAAAGGAAATACTTACAAGAAACTCGTCTCTAATAAAATACTTGGCCCTTGTAACTCTGGGATCCTCACCAGGCTCTGGTGTTGCTGAGTAATAATAAAATAGATAGGTTTCTAATTAAAACAGATGGTTTTTGGTGATAGTTCTTACAAAAATCGTAACTTGTTCTGTTTTCTGCTCACATACGATAGAAACATAGTTTGCAAAACTAACTACGAGCTAAGACAAACCATAACAGTGAAAGCAGCCAGATTTCAGAGGAACAAAGGAATATTACAGTGGCCATAGTACCAGGCATTTGGCAGGTGAGAGAAACCACCAGATATGACATGGGGAGTCCAGAGAATTGTGACAAGCTGTACTGTGGTCTGCACCAGCAAAGTAACAAGATTTTGGCATGATGAAAGTTTTGTATATTAAATGTCCAAAATATAGGATTATCTCATTATTAATACCTAAAATTTAACATTTCAGCTTGGCTAAAAGACAATGAAGATTACATCTACTTAAGAGTTTTCAAGTCTCAGCTGAAAAGACCAAAACCGTTACAAACATGATTACTAAGAAAATGGGAAATTGCTAATAAAAGTTAAAAACCTTACCATCATCTGGTGTAGTGTAGCGAGCGAATTCTGGAAAGTAGTCTTCAATTTTAGATTTCCCTGCCAAAACTTTCTCTGCTAGCAAGTCTTGTTTATTCAGGAAAAGAATTACTGAAATGGTCCGTAGCCACCTGTAGAAAATTGAACGCAAACACTGAGAAGGCACAGCAGGGATCATACAGCAAAGAGACTTAATCCAGCTCTGGAGACAGCAGTCACATGACACTATGATGACTCTGAAAGGTTCCTTTTATACCTGAATTTTGGTAATTCTGGGTGTACACACCCCAGTTTGGTTTGTGTGCTTCTAACATCAAATAGGTGAGCGTAGCCGCTTTCTAGTGTGCTACTCTGTCACTGCTTTCATTATTTCAGCCTCAACATGGCAAGGGCCTGGTTGTAACTCTCCGGAGTTTTCTTCAAGTAGCTGAGCGCACAAGGCGTTAGTGTAACAGGCAGACTAGCTCGGACTGCACAGGAAGAAGCAAGGAACACAGGCGAGGCTGCTGTCGTGGGTTAACCCCGCTGGGCAGAGGAGCACCACAGAGCTGCTCGCTCACTTTCCCCCTCAGTGGGACAGAGGAATAGCAAAGGAAGATTAAACGCAAGAAAATTTGGGGTCAAGATAAAGAAATACAAATATCAATTGTTTAATAAGTGAAAGAGAGAATAAACCAAACCAAGTGATGCAAAGGCAATCACTCACCACCTCCCATGGGCACACCAATACCCAGGAGATGGTTAACCCTCCTAAGCCCTTTCCCCTTTTATTGCCCAGCGTGACGTTGCACGGCACACAACACCTCTTGGGCCATCTGCCCGCTTGTGTCCCCTCACAACCTCCCAGGTTGTTCACTGGGGGGCAGAGTGAGAAACATCACAGCTACAACATCAGTGTTACCAGTATCACTGACGCCAAAATGTGTGAGATGGCACTCCTGTGAGCTGCTATGAAGAAAATTAACCCCACCCTCGCCAGGCCCAGCACACAAGTCTTGACTATAGTATAAGACAGGATTGCTGTAAACAATGAAACTTCCATCCACAGACCTGTTGTTCCAGATACTCTTGAAGAGGTTTAGTGCTTCTTGAAGCCGATTGGTCTGATTGTCCTCTCGTATAACCATGTTGTAGCTACTGCTCGCCACCACAAATATAATAGCAGTCACGTCTAAATTAAGAAATACCCATTAGTCAATATGAAACTTCAGAATGAATATCCAGAAATCCCCAAGTTCAGTAAAAAGCTGCAAGACTTCAGCCTCATGGAAGGGACAGGCTGGAACACTACCGACAGCTTTCTAACACCAGAAACAAAACCAGAAAGTGCAGAAACCATTAAAGGTAGGAAGGGCAGGCCACAGGACACAAGCTGGCGGAATGACAGGAACCGTAGAAAAGACAGGAACAGAAGCAAGAGAGAAAAACTGAGGAAAGCTAGGAGGAGAACCTGAAGATTTAAAAGGTGTAAAGCAATTGAGAAAGCAACTCTGAGCTATCAAGACAGGACAGGGAGGCCCTTGGGGGAAGACCTCAGGACAAATGGCACTTTCGGTCTGCGTGAAGAGCAATAATAGAAATAGCAGATTGCTGTGAATTCATGGTTAATTCCTCTAGTCCCCCTGTCATGGCCTATACTCCTTAGAGGCCCCTATCTCCTTCTTGGGAGATATTCCCAGGATCACAGAATCCAGGTCTCTGTTTCCATGTGGTTGTGCTGGTCCTGACCCCTTATGCTGACTTCCAGGCTCATCCACCTCAGACACCAACAGCAGAAGGGATGAGTCAGATCATGAGGTGACAGCAGGAGGAAGGAGCAGAGGTAAACCCCAAACAAATCTGTTATTAATAGCTCTGAAGAAAAAAGTGCACAGAGTTCCACATAAGTAAGCGTTCAGGTGATACTCTGTGACAGTAACCGTAGCGAAATAGGATGAATTCCAAGTTGCATTCTACCTTATCCGTTCTGCAGGATCTCACCGTAACTTTCCTCAAGAAGGTAAGACTTTTGCACAGCTTCATGAATATTTTGTCCAAACGACAAATTAAAAAAAATACTTTCACCAAATCCAGTTTTCTTAAAACGTGTGTGGAGAAAGGTTTCGCATCTCAACCGAGGTGCAGGGTAGAACAACAGCTGTAGTGGAGGTCCACGCAAGAGTTGAGGATAGACACGAGACTATCTAATGTACACGTACGGGAGGTAAGAATATAGTCACCTGAACTACGCTGACGGGGGCATTAAGACTCCAGATCTTACAGAATGCCTGCAGACGTTTCAGAGCTTACCCGTACCTGGGCTAGTGCTACGTCAGCATTCTAAGGAATCTAGCTTATATGCAGGTTACTTAAATGAGCGTGTTTGTTTATATGTTTGCAGCAAGGGCTGTTTTTCAAGAAAGTGTATTAATATCCGTGGCTCCCTCGGAAAGTGCAGATTTACAAACGCCATCATACACTTTTCAACACGGGCATTTTGGGGCCGTAACATATTATATATGTTATAAGTGAGAAAATTAAGATTGTTTTATGAAATAGTTCTCTGCAAAATTTTCATGCCCAAACAAGAATTCTAATCATACCATTAAAACACTGGATCCATTTTCGGCGTTCATCTCGTTGCCCTCCAACATCAAACATACTAAGAAGGAAACATAAAATGAGTCAGAATACTCTTCCCCCCCCCCCAAAATGCAAACAGAAAATGTAAGAAATTCTAGGACTTCCAAGTCACAGAAGCTAAAAGCAATTAAGGATTTTAAGACCCTGAACAGGTGACAGATCACCAATGTATGCATGCAGACCTTTTATCACAAGATGTTTGCTTCCACTAACAGCTGCACTTGAAGGTAAGACATTCTGGCACATGTACACTGCAGATTCATTTTCACCCTTAAAAGCTAAACCATTACAAATGGTCCTACAACCAGCCATTCACTGAAACAAGTTTCACAGATCTCCACCAGACTAAAACTCAGTAGTTTTTGTTTGGATCAAGCAATCTTTCTAAGCTGGGAAAGTAAAGAGAACATGCGCTGTCTGTTACTTAGATATGTATGAAGTTTTTGGTCAAGTATTTCACTATATAAACTAGCAATGAGTCAAATACTCAGGAAAGGCAGTAATAAAACCAGGTTTAAAACAGTCTGTTCTTTGCAATTTGAAATAAAAGCAGAAAATTACACACCAATTTGTGTTTCTTTTTAAAGCCAGACTACTAAATTAAAAAATTATAAAATACTTGCATTACAGTAGTTTCAATGACTATATGGTAGACTGTCCTCCAATTTACCCTGGTATTTGTCTGCATTGTATTAAGGAAAAAAAAAAAGGATGAAAAAAAGATTAAAAGAAAAGACAAAAAAAGGACATACTTACTGAAAATTTACTTTATCCACCTGAAACTTGGTTTCAAAAATTCCTGATGTCAAAACTCTGCATCTGAGAAGATCCTAGAGCAAAGGAGAAGTCATTGATTCAACACAAATACTTCACAATTCTTCATATACCCCGCAAGAGACATAAAAACCTTGTACCCAGTGCTGACAGTGTATGCTGTACTGCAGAAACAGGGAACAGGGCGCTGTGAGGCTGCATTTACGGTTTTGAGAACCTGAACATGTGTGCACACACTGGGGTGTGCTCAACTTTCACAGTACTTATATTTTCACAAGCAGGTCCTAAGTGCCGAGCTTGGAATAGGAGGAAACATTTAGAGGCCACTTAAAGCAAACCCAACAGCGCAGACCCATCCCTAGAGATTAGGTGATGCAGTCACAGACTTCGGTGGGATTATGGCACACAACAGGATCTTTAAACTACCACCAAATAATTCCCAACCCCAGAAGACAGACTGCTCCCCCAACTGTTCAGTGCCCGGCTAGTAGAAGCAGTGTCTGGGTCTCAGAATTTTCCATTTTTTCCTTCAAAGAATCAGGAGCTCAACCACTTAAATCTTATAAAGAATTGGGGTCTACAAAGAAAAATTCCCTGTAGAGACAAAAGTGATAAGCAAAAGCTGTGAGGTACAAAAACCCCACCAAAATCCAACTTCCATTTACTGCGTACTGCAAAGCAGTGACAGCCACATCCAGTGCCTAGTGGGTAACTGATCTAGAAGAACCTAATTTGCATCGGCTCCGCCTGATCACACAGTCCAGATGTAACTAAGGACAAAATACCACTTTGAATTCGACTAACGGTTTTGTAATTCAGGACTTAAAGTTTTGGTTTTCTTCACAATGGGTCTAAATAGCAGATAAACTGTAACATTTGCAGCAGACAAGATCATGCAAGCCGAACAGAATGTAAAAAACCAATATGCACAATAAAAGCTTTGTTCTTCCTACACAGGTATCAAACTGGTTAGTCAAAGTCAAAACCACCCAAAATCCAAAGGTTAGACAGCTCTGTTAAATCATTAAACAAAACTGCTACATTTTAACGGCAGTTTTCTGATGGTGAATGATTGTTGTCTGGCTCTTTTAATACTCAAATTGAAACACGTATTTATTTAAACACTGTTGTGATGTGTGTGAAACAGTTTGAAAACTCAAACGCCCCAATAAACAGCAGCAAATTTGGAAAGCTCTGCAGTTTCGGAGATCAATACAAGCATGATGTTGGAAAAAAAAAGGGCACTCACCCACCTCAAAGGAAAGAAAAGAAGTGATTTGATTATTACACTCAGGAGTTCTTTTAGGAGAAACATGTAACGTGTCAGAGAATAATCCAAAGGGACCTGTTTTACTGTGCCCTTGTGGGGAGTTCAGTGCAGTGCACGGTCACAGACAAGTGCCGTAAGGACTTAGTTACTTGCAGAAGTATGTAATTATTTTACTTAAGTAACTATTTAAGTACTCACCTTAAGTAATTACTACAATTGTAAGCACGATACTTGGTACATATTACGTATAGCAACTACAAGTTAAATTTCTGACACCCTTAGCCCCAGTGCAAGACTTGTTTTAAAGTTTCGTATCTGAAGATTAGTTGCTCCAAATTTCCAATATAATAACCTATATAGTTACTATTTTGTTTCCTAAAAATAGAATTATTTCAGTCTTAAGAAAGTCTTGTTTATAAAATAACTCAGATTTTTAAAAGGATGAATGATTGTATTATTCTTGAACAACTGTAAAGGATACAAACACTTTATCAACGCCAAAGTTATGGGACATTAATCTGGTTTTTGGTTATTTGTTCTTTGGAAGTATGCTAGAAGCTTAACTGCATTATCTATGGGCAGAAAGCTAGGAATATACATGGGATTTTGGATTAGGGATTGGGTCCATCCACAGATTATCTGTAACATAGTAAAAACTACAATTTCCTTATGAACCAACTTTGGCTCAAAGAACGTGCATGACGGTTATTCAGCATGGAGGGCAAACTACTGTAAATATCTGAGTTTTGTTGTCACAGAACCATGATCCAAGTCCTGAATCCAGGCAGATTTTCACCTCCCAGTACATTTACATGGCTAAACATCATCCAAATCACAAAGCAGTTTTTACTGGAATACTAAATATGTACAGGGCCTGGCAATCCGTGTATCAGTGCCACAAATGGCCAGTAGACAATGGACACGACAGACATCCTCGAAGCCGGAGGGGCTGACAGACCGTGCGGTTTCTTAACGAAACTCTCCTTACCTGGTCAGACGGTGTGTACTCGTTTTGTTTGACTATGTCAATCTTGTCTAGAAAACTGGGGAGAGGAAACAAAAAGAGGAATTTTCATTCTCAAACGGACAAACTACCTTCACGCTTTCGTAACCGCCAGGTTCCCGGGTAAAAGCTGTCCAATTTCCACGGCCGGGATGCCCAACGCGCATGCGCGAGCACGCGCGGTTCCCAGCGCCGGCCAGCAGAGGGCGCAGCCCGCAGTTCTCTCTCAGGTCGGCGCTCTCACGCCAACACCCCCCACCCTCCCAAAACGTGCCGGCAGCTCCGTTCTGGGATTTATTCACCTAAATTGTACAGTACAGCCTGCTACTGCTAACAGTACAGCAATGACTCAAACTGCCTACATGCAATTTTCCCCAAAGGAAGATGAGTATTTTGTAAAAGTGTACCGCCGCTGTCATTCTTCTCATAAATGGAATCCCTAAGCCAACCTCATTGCAAGTTCCGTTAGGTGCTTGGAGCAGTAGCAGTAATAGGCCAACTGGGTACAAAAAGCAGTATTTCATTCAAATGCATTAGGCATTACCTAAAGACTTTATCCTGGAGTTTATCTTTAAAATGTTTCTACCAATTAACTGTAACCTCCTAATTATCTTTCACTTCAATTCCAAGAGCAAAAAGCTCACGTAGCCAATTTGTTACGTCCGTTTTATTGAGTTGTTACTGTGAGACTTGAAGACGCGGCAAAGCAGCAGCTTCAGGCCGTGGGTTTTACGCCCGCGGCACCCCCAGCCACACTGCCCAAGGCTGAGCTGCAGCAGGGCTGCGCCGCGCTCCGGCACCTTCCATTGCCGGACTATTAGGAGACCCGGCAGTGCTTCCACAGGTAACTTTACCTGTAACGCTAACAACTGATCACAGTCCTAAAGCCAATATACTTTAAGTTTCCTTTTACATTCCTTTACAAAGCAGAAATCACAAAGAGAAGGCGAGTTTTCCCTTCTGATCCCTACGTACGCAGGTACGCCGAGAGCGCATCGACTACGGGCACCGGCGGCAGCTGGCTAGCCACGTGCCAGACTCACAAATCAGAAACCAAACCCCACTAAAATCAGTGAGGGTCCTGGAGCTCCCTTTCAGCCCCTGCTTCCCAACTGACTGTCTAAAACACATCGAGAAGAGCAGGGGACGGAGTGTGATTCAACAGTGGCTTCAGCGTAGCACCCCCTTTGCCAGGAACCAGGCCACCTTGTTTCAGAGACAAATGAAAAGTAGTTTTTGTTTAGTCTGAATTACAGAATTTTAAACACATAAAAATCTGTCTTAGTAAACATGCTACTAAAAACACGAGACCAAATTCCATCATGACAGGCGACACGGAGGCTGATACACAACTAAAAACTGCTAAAGCTGAGACCAAATCATGCTCTGCAATTTGCACGCTCTAATTTTAATTTTGGCTTTTCCAGGCTGTTAAGTAATTGTATTTTTCTTTCTTTAATCCAAAGGAAAAGTGAAGCTCTTTGTTCAGCACATAGAGGATGTCAAATACATACAACAATTACGAATTCAAACTAGGACGAGTGCTTCCCCGTTATATTCTCCCCTAAGACGAGTTTCAGAATCGAGTCTCACAGGTTGGGGGTGCTTGAAAAACGTTCAGAACATGACATGTTCAGGAAGGTACAGAGGTGATTACAACGATGGCCCAGCCTTTCTGTACCGAATCTATCCAAGCATAACGTTATGTGCAAGGTCCCACATGAGGTGGATTTTTTTTTTTTTGGTTTTGTTTTTAAACACTCTGCTAATCAGCTTAATGGATTTTGGAAACTGACAATTAGAAAATAACAACAAGATATTGCTAAAACCTGGAACTGAAAGTACAAACCTCTTACTGTTGTTTATGCAGACTATTTTTAGGCCTATGATTTCCTTGAAAAACATCAGCCACATAGGAGCAGCAGTACTGTACTTGAGATGAATTCCAATAGCTATGTTCATGCCAGGTAAAACAAGTTCGAATAGAATAAACATTTCTTCTTCCCCCCTAAACAAGTTCCAACATTCAGTAACATCTGATACTCATAACAATACTCGCTCAAGAAGGAAGTCTTTCACTGTGTGACAGCTACCAGAAAGCCAACCCTGCTTCCAGTGGCATTTTAGGGAAAATGGAGCAAAGCAATACATTAAATGAAGATTTCCTCCTGTGCATGTGCCTTTTCATAAAAGTCTGCTCTAGCAACTTTACAAAGGGCAAAAGACATGAAAAACCAGTTTGATTTTTTGCTCACACATAAAGGGAATTATTCTTTCAGTTTGTCGACTGAAAAGTAGATGTGGCTGTGAGGAGAAGAGTGGCAAACATTCTGATACATCTAAAGTAAGGAGCAACAGCGGGAGCATTAGAGTTCAGAAAAGATCAATACGCTATGTTCAGAGACTTCTAAACCCATGTTTGACAAGACCAAATAATTTATCCAGTAAATTAAACTAATAATCAAGTCAGATGAGAACAAAGCCCAGTTTCAAATAAAAACAAATTCACCATCATCAATTTCTATTTTTAAATCTTGTTATGCTCTACCCAAAACACAACTGAGGCCACTTCAGTACTACTCCGTGTGCTGAATTCACTGCTGTTCTAGGCTGTTCTAAGTCTACTGCAGATATGCCCATCTACTGTGTCAGCAATGAATTTCACAGGGAGAAAGGAAAGTGACCTTGGTGAAATAATTCAAATAAAACTGTCAAACCACGAAAACAAATTTTATACTGCGAGCAGGTCTTGCACCAAGTTACAAAAGTCAGGTTTTTTTGTTCTGTAAAATTTTCCCAGAGATTATATGGGAAAGCTATTTTCCAGAAAGCAATTCACTCAGCATCGCTGCCAGTTCTCACTTGGGGCCAGATTCCGGACACGACTAAATACCAGGATTGGTTATTGCTCTGCAATATACTGTCACTTAGCATAAGGTGCTCTTGCCTGTCTTATAAAACATCAATACCACTATGATGTGACACGTTAAAAAAACCCCAGAAAGACAAGACTTTAGGCCATTTGTAGGCAGCAACACTAGGGGAGCAGCACCTCCAGGACAGCAGCAGATGTATCCCTCAGACAGTAAAACAAAAGGCAAGAGTAAAAATTTAGAACACACTAAATAAAAAATGCACTTTATTTTTGGGTCTCTTTCTTCAGCTTGGGGAAGACAAAACACACATGGAACGTTTTAAACAGACCTTTGTGAAGAATCAATTGTTTTTTAAATTTACGGGGTGTGCTTAGGAGGCAGAATTCATAGAGATGCACAGAAGCTTTCCGTAGCTCCTGCAGGTCAATGTAGTTAAGTCATACACGTATCCCCAGTTCTTTCCAAAATTTTAATAAGCCTATTAGGTCAAAACCATGACCCAGTTTTTAGATCAAGACATATGCTAGCTACTGATTTATTCTGGAGTTCTTCCATACTGAGGGAGTTGTTTTATCCCTACGTGGGGGGAATTTCCTGAATGAACAATGCTGCTGCCAGACTAAGAAATGCAGCCTGCACTCGTTTTTCCCTGCTGAAAAGGTATATAACACACTAAATCTTCCACCTCAAGAAGCAACAAAACTTCACCCTTTTGGGAAGAAGGGGGAGGGGGAAATCAGACTGCCTTGCCTCGAGCATTTCCTGACTGTCTCTTCAATGACAGTAACTTGAAATTTTACTGTTTGTGATCTGACGAAACGGTGGGCCAGTAAGTAATTTTTTTTTCTCTGTGAAGAAGAGCTTTTCCTTTCAGTCCAGAACACTGGAAAGGTCTCTTCAGACTGGTAACGCACCTATATTTGAAAAGCTTTATTTCCAGCAGATTTTTCTTTTGTCGAGTCATAACCTGAAGTCATATACAAAATGTCTCTCTTAGAAGACGGATGAAGATCTCATCTCCAGTGTCCGTAAGACACTGCAAATGAAGACTTCAACATCTGAATTCCAGCTAAATGCAACATTTGTTTGTAAGTTATAGCCCTCAACAGTAGTGCTGGAACCCTGTGAAGTTTCTTGCCTCTGAAAGCCTCAAGCTTTGTTACAGACAGTAAATCATACTCACAGCTCCTGCCTGCCTTCCCTCACACTGCATTTCCTGCCTCTACCATCGCATCCTGAAACACACACCTTACATTAACCCTATTTAAAGGTAGGCACACAGGGAGTAAGTTAATTGCCCCAAGTCAGTGGAAATGGAATTTTCATTTCCTCTGAGTCACGCGTTTTTATCAAGATATTACTAAGAATTAACCAGAATATTACTAAGAATTACCAAGATTTTACTAAGAATTAAAGTTGTATTTACCCTGATCACCTCTAAAACAGTCCTTACAATTCAGGTTTCTATATCCAAAAAAAAATTAATATTAATGCTCTTCCTAAAGACCACACTGTGCAAAGGCCCAGAAGATTTTTATTTATCAGGACTACAAAAGTAACTCAAAGCTACGTAAAGTACTTTTAAGCTGAAATTTAACTCAACGTTAATAGTGTTTTATTAATAAAAGCATTTGTTTTTTATTTCTCAGAACAGATCATGCTTTACTTCTACTTCACTCCCTTTTTAGTACTTGCCATAATTCTTCATGTTATTCAGCAACAGCTTTCGAAGAGCTAAATGGTTCCCTATTCAATAAATTCCTTCTTTTTTGTCTATGCTGAAGCCAGAGTCACAGGATTAGTACGAAGATAAAATGCACTCTAAAAGCGTATTCAAGCTGCGAAATACACGATGTACATACTGTAACTTTAACACAGTTTAAAGCCAGTTAATACGGGTTTTCCAAAGCCTGAAAAACCAGGTCTGTTGGAGTGACAACACCATGGCTTCCCACGCCGGGCCACACGCTGACAGAACCCAGGGTGCCCGGGGCTCACTTCCAGTTCCAAGCACACATGCACACAGCGACTGTCCCTCAAGTCTGCCCGTTCCTGCTCTTCTTGGGAGCAAGCAGGATATTGAGGGGGAGTCCTATTCCTTAAACTGTGCGAAAGATTTCTTTTATACTTCAGCTAGTTCATTTTGGAAGAGGAGCAG